AAAACAGAAACAAAATTTCTTTCAAGAAAAGAATATGATATAAAATTTCCAACTTTTGAAGAACTTGAGCATTTTCTTTTTAAAGAATATATATTTTATTTATCATTTTTATGTGTATGAGTGTTTTACCTCCATGTATGTAAGTGCACCCATATCATGCAATGCCCAAGGAGGTCAGAAGAGGGGGTCCAATTCGACTGGAACTGGAGTTACAAGATGGTTATTAGCTGTGATGTGAGTGCTGGGAATCGAACCTAGGTCCTCTGCATGAGTACCCAGTGCTCTTAAACACTGAGCCATCTCTCTAGCCCAACTTGAATATTTTCTAAACTAGAAAATCATTATCAAAACATGACATGATCAAAATAGTACCAAATAGTAAATTGCTTAGACATTTCTTTGAAAAGGAATACAGCATTTTTGTGGAAAACTACTGACAGGAATGGTTACACGTGTCTGTAACCCTAGCACCTGAGTGGTGGAGGCAGGAGGAGCAGGAGTTCAAGGCCAGTTTTGGCTCCATAGCAAGTTCAAAGCCAGTCTGTACTACATGAGAACCTGTCTCAAAAATCAAAATAGAGAAATATATTAACACTGATTATATACTGAAAATTACATCTTTTACAATTACTTTTAACTTGTAAAAACAATTAGTATCAACTCAAAATATGTAAGGTTATACACAGATTTTCAAAGTCTTCTATGAAATTTGTGAGTAATACATTTAGAAAAACATTGCTTTAAATCTGTAAATTTTTCACCTACATTGTAGGAAACTAGCCATTCTTTATACAAGAGATTAGAAATATATTTATTTTAAGCTGGACATGGTGGCACACGCCTGTAGTCCCAGCACTTGGGAGGCAGAGGCAGGTGAATCTCTGTGAGTTCAAGGTCAGCCTGGTCTACATAGTGAGTTCCAGGACAGCTGGGGCTACAGGGAGACCCTGCTTCAAAAAGACAAAAAAAAAAAAGAAAAGAAAAGAAAAGAAATATATTTATTTTAACAATCTACGATGGTGTACGAGAGCCTAGGATGATAACTCAGTGGAAAAAGTGCTTACTGCCCAACCATGAGGACCTAATCTCCAGCACCCACATAAAAAAGCTGGGCATGGAGGTAACATGCCCATAACCCTAGTGCCAGGAGGCTGAGACATAGTGAATCCAGGTGTTTGCTAGCCAACTAGGCTAGCCGTGCTAAGCTCCAGGTTCAGTGAAACACCCTGATGGAAAAACAGACAAACAGTAACAACAAAAACAGGTGGCTGGGACTAGTGAGATGGTTCAACCTGTAAAGCTGTTTGCCATTAAGTATGACAAGCTGCGTTCAAGCTGAGGTGCCAGGACTCACACAGTGAAAGAAGAGAATGACTTCCACAAATTGTCCTGACCGCCATTCCAGTGTGTTGGCTACATGCACCCCCCCAGCACTAAATAAATAAATAAATAAATAAATAAACTCATTAAAAAATAGATGGGAAAACAATATAGAAAGACACAATGTCAACCTCTAGCCTCCACAAATGTCCACACAGGTGATTACTCCAGTATTAATTATGTACATCCCTCTACCCTTTCACCCCATCTCTGAAAATCTAGCAAAAGATGAAACAAAGTGACAGAGTCTGCTCTACTGACAACCCCTTGTACAATTCCATAGTTAAGACAATGTTGAAGAGCTCACTGGATGCATAGCTTCAAAGTCAATGGTCATCTGGGAGAAAATGGGGAAAGTTGATAGAGAAAGACTGCACTTAACAGCACAGAGAAGGGGGCTGCCTAAACAATAAACACCATTCAACGAAGGCAAGCTACGTGGGAATATCTGTATGGAATCAAAAAGACCAGTTACTGTAGCAGACTCTGACACTAGTTATTATCAAACAGTACAATAGTAAGTGATGATCAAGGTAATTCTAAGTTATTAAGAAAGCATTAAATTATGCTCTATATATTCTATGCAGAAAAGATGTTAACTATAATGTTGTTTATCACTGTATCAGTATTTAAGGTATTTTTCAATTTGGAAAATTTACATGCAGAGAATATCTTGCTTCCAGGGTATGATAGGTTAATGAAATAATATTTTATCCAAATCTTACCTGCTGGGAATTATCACCATTCCCTATACTGAGAGAATCGGAAGGTTTGTCAATGGGGCTGTAAAAGAAAACAAATTGAATAAAAGGAAGAGTAAAATCATTCTATCACAATAAAAATAAGCTTCCCCAAAGAAAGAAAAACAAGCCTTTTACCACCTTAACAATGGTTTTTGAGGCTCTGTGATGTAAGACATTAGTTAGGTGTTAAGAACACAAAGTGTCACTACCCTTGAGGAACTTACATTCTAATTTGTCCCCAAAACCTATGACTGAAATCACAGTTTATGAAGAGGGAGTGGAGAGAGGTGGGGAGGGAGAGAAAAGAACTGCTTAAAACATTAGATATGATGGTAGGCTGGGGATGTAGCTCAATGGTACAGTACTTGCCTCGCATATACAAGGCTCTGGTCCAATTCCCAGCACTGGAAAAATCAAACCAAACTAAACCAGATACTGCTCCAAGTAATAATTTGCAAATCTTCATGCCGTGGAGGTCAGAAATTGGCATCGGACCCCTGGAACTGGAGTTAGGGACAGTTTTTAGCCAATGTAGGTACTGGGATTCAAACCCGGGTCCTCTGCAAGAGCAGTTAGTACTCTTAACCACTGAGCCATCATTCCAGTCCCATAAATTACAAATCTTAATGTGCCATTTAGGTTTGTGCATGTGATAAAAATCCTTCACTGTAGTGTTTGAAACAGTGATTAACTCATTTTTATATGTGTTTGACGGGGAGGGAGAAGACTGAAATGTCTACAGATTTTTAAAAAAAATATTTTATCATTTTTATGTGTATGTGTGTATTGCCTGTATACAGGTAAGTACACTCGTGTCATGCAATGCCTGCATAGGACGGAAGAGGCTGTCGGATCCCCTGGAACTGGAGTTAGCTGCCATGTGGGTGCTGGGATTCTGCAAGAACAGTGTTCTTAACTGCTGAACCATCTCTCCAGTCCCCATGTTTACAAGTTTTTAAGAGCCAAAAATTTCTTTAATACTTCTATGTACACTAATCCTAACCCTGGAAATGGCATATGTGTTTATTACTCATACACAAGTGAGAAAAAAGATATAGTTTTATAAAAACTACTAGATCAGGGGCTGGAGAGATGGCTCTGCAGTTAAGAACACTGGCTGTTCTTGCAGAAGACCTGGGTTTGAATCCCAGCACCCACATGGCAGCTAACAACCATCTGTAACTCCAGTTCCAGGGGATCCAGCACCCTCTTCTGTCCTCCATGGACACTGCGTGACACAGTGCACTTACACACATGCGGGCATAACACTTATACACATAAATTTTTTTTTTAAATTACAGATTCCTCAAAATTATATTATTCCCTGCAAAGCTGCCTTACAAACAGGTACCACATTTAACTGCCCTAAACAAATTTAAGGGCTAGTGCCCAGTCAGAAATCTGGTATATTTTCTATAGAGACACTGACAGATATGCTTAATTCTAGCAGATTGTCTGCTACAGTTAGCTATTAAATTGCTTAAACAGAAACTGTTAGGTTTTATGGTCTTTAAAAAGATTTACACATTTACAGGAGACAGGGAAAAGGAAGACAGCATTAGAGGCAGAAGAGCACAGATCAAATGACTGGATCAAACAGGGAGCTAATTAGTTGAAATAAAAAAGATGGTTTGAACAAAAATGTAAAGTAAGGATAGAAAAAGAGACAGAGGCCAGAAGGAGGAGACCAGTGGAAATAAGTAGTATTTTTGGAAAAGAAATTTTTTTTATATTTATTCATACATGACATGTGGAGGTGAGACAAAAGCTTGCCAGTCAGTTTTCTCCTTCCACCATGAGCAGTCACATGAAGACACACACACACACACAAATAATTCCCAGAAAGTGTGTGTAAATCTTAGGGGATAAAATTTTTTCTTAATATATTATTTACTATTTTTATTTTATGTGTATGAGTGTATTGCCTGCATATAGGTAAGTGCACCCATGTCATGCAATGCCCACAAGGACAGACAAGGCCATCGGATTCCCTGGAACTGGAGTTAAAGACAGTTGTTAGCTGCCATGTGGGTGCTGGGGACTGAACCCAGGTTTTCTGCAAGAACAACCAGTGTTCTTGACCGCTGAGCCATCTCCAGCCCTGAGATAAAAATTTATAAGCAAGTTTTCATAGTTTTTGCTAAAATTTTCTACAGTTCTAGGCCAATAGTAAATATTTTTAAAATTAACACCAATATGTATATTTATTTTACTTATGTAAAGCATAGAGAATATCCTGTCATCATTTCTAGAGATTCTGACTCAATTAGATGAACTGAAAACCTGGTATATGATGAGCCCAGCAACAGAGGAAATTAAAAGTGAAGGACATGATGAAGTCTCTCAACTTATTACGTTTCACAACTAGCAGGATCAAAGTCAATAGAAATGCTTTATTTTAAAGATAAAGAAGCTAAAATTTAAAACTATCTGTAGGGGCTGGAGAGGTGGCTCAGCAGTTAAGAACACTGGTTATTCCTGCAGATGACCTGGGTTCGAATCCCAGCACCCACATGGCAGCTAACAACTGTCCGTTACTCCCATTCCAGGGGCTCTGACAGCCTCTTCTGTCCTTTGCAGGCATTGCATGACACACGTGCCCTTACCTACATGCAGGCAATACACACATACACATAAAATAAAAATAATAAATAAAATAATTAAAAAAAAACTATCTGTAAAGAAGCAGTACATGTCACAGAGCTGGGCCTCTGCTGGGTTATTTAAACACTTGACAAGTTTTGCCCTTTTCTAACTTGGAATTTTACATCCCTTTTTTACTTAGTGGCAATGTCAACCAAATTAATGAAACCAGTCTCATGGCTACTTTTTAAAAAACTTTTTTTAGGTGTAAGACAATTACAAAGCAGAAGGATGAAAGAAAAATTCATTTGGGGTGGCTAAAGATGGCACAGGAAAAAGCTGAAAGGGTCTAGCTCCCTCATCAAATTCAAAAGATAAAAAGTCATTATATTTTTAGTTACATTTTAAATATTAGGTCGACTTACATAAAGACAGATGCCAATAAAGCGGACATTTCCAAACTTCACTGGCTTGCTGTTATACACACATATACACAATATATTTTTCTAAATAAATGTATTTCATATTTATTTAGATGAACTCATTTTGAGTTTTTTCATGCTTATCAGTCTTTAAAAACTCTTGAGTTACACTTAAATACTTGCTCCCACAAATGATACATTTAAATTACTAACAGGTAAAACTTGCTTTCATAGGATACATTTTAATTTTACACAGGCTTCAGATATACATCAATATTTAAACTACTATTTTGCTATTAAAATATGGTGAACTTTTAAGTGGCACAATTAGCTCTTCACAGGCAAGGAAAAAAGACTTAGTAAGCCTGGAGTATTTGTAGCTGGGCAAATGTTTTAATTGGTTTTCTCATAACCTCTAGGTCTATTTAACATAAAGTGAAAAAAAAAAGTCTGAATAACCACAAGTAGGCACAAAGAATAAATTATCCTTAATACTGAAGTTAAACAAGCTCTGCTTGAGACTTTCTTGCACAATGTCTACAGACCACATCTTTTCTGAGTCTTAGGGGGACCAAATAATGCCAGGGAATCCAGAGAAGAGGATTCATACAGTAATTTTTCTCATTCTAGTGAATTAGTACAGTATTCTGACTGTACCTTCACTCTATCAGACAGCACACTCAATTTTCAGTAAGAATACACTCACGCCTTTTAAAGGGAGGTGGGGTGGATGAGCGTGTTGGTCAGTATAAAAGTATTTTCCTAGTACACAAGCACCACAAAATAATGACGACAACAGATATATATATATTTCCTCTCCATGAAACAAAAATTGAAAAATTCCTATGTAAGCTTTCCTTTCAATATTTTTACTAGACAATCTACTACTGCCATCAATCTGTGGTTGAGAGAAGCTTAAAATAGTATCAATTTCCTGGAAGTTACAGTTTTTGTACCCTAATAAACCTGAAGTCCCACAGATTCCCAGTCAAACTACATATAATTATGATACTGTTTCATTTAACTGAATTAAATTGATTGGGATATCAATTTTGTTTTCCTAGCCATTTTTCTTAAGAATTGTACCCTTCACTTACATACATGCAAGCAATACACTCAAACACACACAAAATAAAAATAAATATTTAAAAAAAAATAATTTTACCCTTCAGTTTTTTTCAATATAATCATGTTATTTCTTAAAGAAAACAATGCGGGGCTGGAGAGACGGCTCAGTGGTTAAGGGCACTGACTGCTCTTGCAAAGGACCTGGGTTCGATTCCCAGAACCCACATGGCAGCTGCAAACCATCCTTAACTCCAGTTCTAGGGGACTCCGAAGCCCTCTTCTGACCTCCACAGCATTGCACGACATGGATGCTCTCACTTACATGCACGCAATACACTCACACACATAAAATAAAAATAATAAATGAAATATTCAAAAATATATTTTATTGCCGGGCATGGTGGCACAAGCCTTTAATCCCAAGACTTGGGAGGCAGAGGCAGGTGGATCTCTGTGAGTTCAAGGCCAGCCTGGTCTACATAGTGAGTTCCAGGACAGCTGGGACTACAGGGAGACCCTGTCTCAAAAAGATCCAAGAAAAGAAATTTATTATTTTTTATTATTTTATTTAAAAATAATAAATAATTTAAAAATAATAAATATTTTTAAATAGTTTATTATTTTTTATTATTTTATGTGGATGAGTATATTGCCTGCATGTATGTGAATGTACCCCTGTTGTGCAATGCCACGGAGGTCAGAAGAGGGCATCAGATTCCCCTGGAACTGGAGTTATGGATGGTTCCTAGCTGCCATGTGGGTGCTGGGAATCGAACCCGGGTCCTCTGCAAGAGCAGCCAGTGCTCTTAACTGCTAAGCCATCTCTCCAGTCCCAACTGTACCTTTTAAACTAAGGCAGAGTGAGCTAATGAGTTTAGTCTTCAAAGTGAGAAAGATTTTGGTCAGAATCTGATCTCTTCAACTAATTTGTATGGAATACTTGTTAATATTTGACCTTTCTAAGACTTAGTTTTCTTATCTGTAGTAATGATAACAACAACTACCACACAGGGCTACTGTGATCTAATCTTCATTTTCTTCTTCCTTTCACTTCAGTCTAAAGTTTAATATCTACATTTTCCCACAGGGACTGGGTGAGCCATATCAAGTAATACCTCCTACACTGTGTGACTTGCATGCCCTATGATTCTTTTTATTTTATTTCATTTTATTTGTATGCGTGTGTTGCCTGCATGTAAGTCAGTGCACCTGTGTTTGTGCAATGCCCATGGAGGTCAGAAGAGGCTGTCATACCCCCTTGGGACTGGAGTTATGGACAGTTGTTAGCTGCCATGTGGGTGCTGGGATTTGAACCCAGGTCTTCGCAAGAACAACCAGTGTTCTTAACCGCTGAGCCATCTCTCCAGCCCTGCATGCCCTATGATTCTTATAACTAGGCCTACTCGGTGTCCTTAGCACCGCAGCCTAGTGAGTTACTATTCCTTTTATAGCCATCAGTTGTTGTACAAATAATGTCTCCACCTACATGAAAGCTCTAAATGTGAAATACCACATCCCTACAGATCACAGCTGCCTGGAGTCCTCACTTCCTGCTCTTGGCACTAGCACTCATCATTTCAAAGCAACTTAATCATATGGAAAAACTACTTTTAATGAGAACAAAGGCATATGTAAATGTTGTATGCATCTGAAATAAATGTTTACTACAACGAACTCATTCTTACACCACACACTACAGAAGTGGAAAGCAATGAGCAATAGCACATGGTTCATCACCTAGAAAGAACAGGTACAAATGATCAAAGGAGAGAACCAGTTTGTTCAACCCAAAAGATATGTTTGCACTTAAGCTTTTATTTTGAACTTTGATACAAATAAATCTCACATCTTTTACTATTCAGTGACTTCATGTTTTTGTTCTTAAGTCTACTTATATGTCTCTACACACAGATACCTCTATGTGTAAGTGTATAAGAAATAAACATTTAAATTTAAAGTCTTTAATATTTAAATAATGTTCAGCATCAGAAAGAATAAGCATTGTTTTAAAATTTTAAACACAAGAATATGTCTTGAGCAGGGCGTGGTGGTACATGCCTTTAATCCCAACACTCGGGAGGCAGAGGCTGGTGAATCTCTGTGAGTTTGAAGTCAGCCTGGTCTACATAGTGAGTTCCAGGCCAGCTGGGGCTACAGGGAGACCCTGTCTCAGGAAAGACAAAAATATATATATATATATATATATATTTTTTTTTTAAAGAAACAGATTCTAACAATAATCCATGTAACTTTTATTGGCTATATCTGAAAACTGGTTCTTTCTCACTAAATAAACACTGGACTCTAATATTTAAAGTCAGACATTAAATAAAAGATCACTTAAACTGATATAATAAAATTTTTAAAATTATTATTTAACTACATTAGTTTCTGACAAGTTATAACCTAAGGAAGTACAGTCTAAGAAATAAAGATCTCCATATCAAAATGATACTCAGTACTGAAAATTATAAATCTTAGCACTGATTCAATATCTTTCACCCAAACCATGTTAGAAGTGGTTGATGGGCAATTACTTTGTCCCAAAAGTATGACTGTGAATATCTGATGCTCTCCTCAGAGGACAGAACACTTTAGTGATTCCCGAAACAGCATGAATACTTGCATCCCCAATACATGACACTTCAGATAACTGCCCACTTTTGCTTTTACAATATTTTCCCCTTTCATTATGCCAGGGGAAAACCTTGAATTGAGTGAAAAGAGCCTTTGGGGAAAGGGGGGCTGTGACAGGGTTTCCCTGTAGCCCCTGGTGTCCTGGAACTTGCTATGTAGACCAGGCTGGCCTTGATCTCACAGAGATCCGCCTACCTCAGCCTCCAGAGTGCTGGGATTAAAGGTGTGTGTTACCACTCCTTGCCTAACAAGAACCCTCACTCCAAGACACTCCCATTTTGTAGCCTAAGCAGGCCTAGAACTTGCTGTATGGCCCAGACTTTGATCTCAAACTGTGACTGTCCTGCATCAGTCTCTCAAGTGCTAGAATTTAGTAAAGAGAGCACTGCAACCAGCTCCATGATTTCCTTTCAACAAGGGAGGAATTCCCAGTGCTCACTGAGGTCTGCAAATCAGTGTCCAAAGCAAAGGCATCAAGAGGTAAAGGGAGTACTGAACAACAAAAATTCTGACTCAAAAACCGTGACTTGACATTGCTATATAGCTGAAAAGTGTGGATAAATGTTAGACCTTGTATAAGACTACCCCAAATGATGCAGTGTGTAAAGCATGACAGATACAGATATAAGGGCAAGACATCTGATCACACCAACATCAGCATTTAATCAGTACTTACGTATCATACCTCTGCAGTGGTGTCACTTTGTTCTTATTCTTATCAACTGAACCCGTAGATAGCTGAAGAAAATTGGGATTTAATTTATATAATTCTTGGAGTAGCTTCTGTTCATATTCTTGGTGTTTACCCGCCTAATGAAAGAAGAAATTAAAACTGCAGTGGGATTCACAAAATGTCTGGTATAAAATGCTTGATTATCTTCTGAGTTATTAATACCAAAGCTATCTTATATAGAACATAAAAGGCTTTTTTATAAAGTTAAAAAAAAAACACCTTTGAGAATGATGCTACAAAACTTTCTAGATCAATGAAAGTTATTTCAACAAAGTTACATGACATACATTCCATAAATGAAGGCATTTCATCAACTCCTTTATCACACAGAAAATCATATTATGTAGAGAACAATTTCACTAGATCAATGTACCAGAAGGCTTTTACTATACCAGAAGGCCTATAAATTACTTCCAAGGGTCAGTGAGATAGCTTAGTTAGTGAGTAAAGTCTGACAGGTTGAGTTCAATCCTCAAAAACCCTTATGGTAAATTAAGGAGAAAACCTACTCACCAAAACTGAAAACTTTCCTCTGACCACACATGTCCTGTTGCATATGTGTGTATACACACATACACACACACACACACACACACACACACACACACACACACACAAATTCTAGATGGAGTCAAATTCCAGCTAATAATTTTCTGAAAACATTATAATAAATATAATAAACTTTAAACTACTTTCAGCTTCTCTTCTGTAACTAAGTCCTCTAATGGGTCATTGATGAGGTTTTTGATGTCCCAGTTGATATAACTTAGACTCACCTCAATTAAGGAATTTCCCAGATCAGTTCAGCTTATTTGCATATCTGTGGGGGGTTGTCTTAACTGTTAATTGACATAGGAATGTCAAACCAGCCCACTGTGGATAGTAACATCCCTAGGAGGTGGGCCTGGGCTGTACAAGAAAGCTAGTTGTGTATAAGCAGATCAGCCAGACAGCAAGCAGCATTCCTCCATGGTATTTGCTTCAAGCTCCTGTTGAGTTCCTGCCCTGACTTCCTTCAAGGATGGACCAGACTCCTGTAAGGCGAAATGAACTCATTCCTTCCCTAAGTTGCTTTCGGTCATGGTGTTTGTCACAGCAACAGAATGAAACTAGAACATCTGATGATTTCACAAAACTTATCAATAGTTCTCCAGTTTCATTTAGAGATTAATAACATACTCACAGTTTTATTATATTCTTCATTATCTTGACATTAGGTAAAAACTCCATTAGCTTGTTTTTATTCTCTATTTATCCCGCTACCCATGATGAAATAAAATTTAATGAATGTTAAACTCTAAATCCTAGAGTGAGCAGTGTATAGCCAGTCCCTTAAACTTGTACTGGACACAATCAGGGTCATTCATTTACATACTGTCTGTACTGCTTTCCTGCCTCAGAGTCAGAATAGAGTGCTGCAACAGACAGTAGAGTGCTGTAGCAGAAGCTGCATAGTCTGGAAACCCTAAAACACTCTGCTTGTGGGCCTCACAAAGATTTGCCAGAATGTGTTGTGTACAAGGAACTACTCTACCTATTCTAGCTGGAACAGCGTTTTATCAGAAGGCAATGTCACAAACATTATGGGAAAGGTGAGGCAGACTTACGGTAGAGCTGATCATAATCAAGAATAAATGCCAAGCAAATAACTTTTGAGTAACCTTCTACTGTGCACGCATATCATGACTGAAAAGACATCATCATTTACCTACATGGACAGTAGTTTTTTTTTTGAGACAGGGTCTCCCTGTAGCCAGACCTGGCCTAGAACTGCTATATAAACCAGGCTGGCCTCCATCTGAGAGATCTGCCTGCCTCTGCCTCCCGAGAAAATAGTACCTATTTTTAAACTATGATTTAAAAACAAAATTTTGTGGCAAAACAAAAATCAAGAGAGTAAAACAAAAACAAAACAACCATATGAAGTGAGGGTAGCATCACTTAACTGAGCGCAACTGAATCGTGCACACACACTGCATTGTTTCCTGTTCTGACGCCCTTGCTTGTTACTCAACTTTGAGTTGCATAGTAAAAAGGAAAGAATTTATTTTTGCCATGATATAACTTATTTAGATTTTCTTTCTATATTGTAAAGTATTTCAATGAAGAAACCCCCTTTAAAGTAAGTTGTAAGTTCAGGTAAAAAGAGCAAGATGAATTTGAGATAATAATATGAATTACATTTTAAGAAAAAAAAATTAATTAGAAGTGAATTTTACATCTTTAAAACATAAGTCACCTACATAATTCTTTCTGTAATTATTACTTCCAGAGATATTATGGCTTTCATGAGCCACAGAGCTCAACCTGATATGTAAATGACTACTAGGGCAGTTCATACAGGCAGCTAAAATTCCACAAGTAAGTTCAAACAGACTGTGCATATATTTTTCTCTTATTGTTCAATAATAATTTACATGTGATCAAGTTGGACTTGGAAATTCCTTAACAACTTTCCACTGTAATGATATGAGTGTTAAGTATACTAATTAAAATTCAGTTTGAAATGGCTCTACCTAGATTGCATTCATGAAAATTAACCCAAGGGCTGGGAAGGTGTTTGCCATGAGAGCCTGAGATCTGTTTTTTGTGTTAAAAAAAAAACAAAAACAAATGAACAAACAAACAACCCCAGCCAGGTTTCCAGGAGTGGAAGAGACAGGAGGATACTGAGGACTTGCTGTCCAGCCAATAAGGGAGTCTCAAGTCAACCAAAAGACTGTCTAAAAAAAAAAAACCAACATGGAGACACTAGGCACAGCAGCACATGCCTTAATCCCAGCATTCGGGAGGCAGAGGCAGGTGGATCTCTGTGAGTTCAAGTCCAACCTGGTCTACATAGTGAGTTCCAGGCTAGCTGGTGTTACAAGGAGACCCTGTCTCAAAAAGATAAAAATAGAGAGAAAGAAAGAAAGAAAGAGAGAGAGAAAGAAAGAAGAAAGAAGAAATTCATGCACAGAACAGTGAACTGTGGCTCTCTCCCCCAAAGCCTGTGGGCCTCACCAGCTTAAAGCAGAGTTAGCTTTAATTCCCTCCCGCTCACGTTATAACCCACCTGCTTGCCGGCATGGTGGCCCACACCTTTAATCCCAGCACTCGAGGCCTCTGTGAGTTCAAGGTCAACCTGGTCTACATAGTGAGTTCCAGAGGCTAGCTGGCTACAGGGAGACCCTATCTCAAAAAAACCAAAAAAAAATAAAAATAAAAATTAAAAAAAAAATGTGGAGAGACATCAAGACATTCCATGTGGACCTCTGGTCACCACAGGCACATTTCAGGTGACTGCACTGTACAGGGGCATACACCATCCTACCCACGCATACACATTACCCACTCCCCCAAAAGAAAGAAATTTTAATTAAAAAAAAACACACACACACAAACAAAAGCACAACTTAAAAAGTATTAATTGAAAAAGATATAAGTATCTCATCTACCCTGTTGACTATCAGACGGACCTAATTTTAAGTTATTTAATTACAAAGACAATAATGTCAAGAAACACCTATGTATTTTATTATAACGGGAATCTGTATTAACTCCAAGTCAAAAAAGATAAAAATTCATGTTATATAACAATCTGCCTTTAAAGAATCTCATATTTTCTCTAGTTTGACTCGGAATAAAAAGTAGCAATGAATGCCCCCCACCTTCTCAATGAGAAGTATTCCTGCAAAAGTCCACAGCAACAATCTGAGGGAACTGCAGCATTGTGCTTTGGGATAATCCTCATTTTAATATGCCGTATGGTCAACATTTTTACTTGTAAAAGCATGTTTATACTACAAATTGAAAGGAGACAGGAGAAGAGGAAACGTAAAAAAGAAGATAGGATATTAAGCCTTCAATTCACCTCTTAGAGGATAATGATTATACTGTGGACACTTTCAAAGGAGAATCACTGTATATAAATGTTAGCTTATCAGCATCATTAGACAGATTACTATCTTTTAGAATACCCTATAAAGAAAAGATGTTGAGCAAAATGAACAAACAAAAACACCCTGACAATGATGGGGAACCTCCTTGGCCTCCATTCTGCTGACATGCTCCTTAAAGTAGTATTTCCCAAAGTGATTTCTTTGGTCAACTAAATTGTCTCTTGGTTATATGCTGTCACATTAAAATCTCTGAAAAGTCTTACAATAAATAATTCTGTTTTTATTTATTAATCTAATGTTTTCTTCATTGACCACAGACCTATTTTTATTTTAACAATGTCCTGCGGAACAGAGATTTCATGGGACACTTTGGAAAATGCTGCTTTAAAGTGGTACCAGATTTTCAAAAGCTTAAATCTTTAAGTTCTTGTCTTTATAATTTTAACTGAAAAGAAAAAAATAATTCCTTTTGTACTAAACTGGTAATTCACATGACTTTACTACCTGCATTTCCTCTTTTGTGAAGCTGGCTGCCTCATCCCCCAATTCATGTAGATACATGCAGTCAGGCTTTGGACACTGCATATTCTTTAAGAAGTAACTGCAATATTTTGTTGTGCCTAAAGATGCCTGTAGGAAGAAGAGGGGGTGGTAAGAAGACTCAGAACAGGAACTGACATCACAACGAGAATTTCTGTGGTTAGCGTTTTGTTTCACCTAAAATGAGGCACAGACATAACAAACGAGAAGTACAGCTGAGACCCAGGAACCTGAGCTCTTCCTGATAGGATGTACTACAGATGATGTCTGTGGAAGAGCTAAAGAGAACATCTCAACACATTTCTAGAATCCGAATGCTCAACTCTTCTCCAGACATCAGAAGAGAAAGCTCTGCTCCAGGTTTATAAAGGGTTGAGCACAGAAGGTGGCAGATTCTTCTAATTACACCACCCTTCTACTGACATAAAGCATCATTGGTGGGACCACTCACTCAAACTTGAGCCAAAGTTCAGGTATTTACTGACACAAAATCAGAACTCTTACCTATTTCTGATAAAAAGCATTTTCACAAAATTAGAAAAGTGTAAAAGTTATAAATCTTTGAAGGATTGTTCCCTAAATAATGTTTGTATTCCTACCCAGTAAATAAAACAGAACCCTACTTAATTAAGTCAGTAGTATGTAATTGGGGTATCAAAGGTTGGTATGGGAACCTAAAAGGCAATCTTTAAGTGTCTTCAAAGTTCCCCTGTAAATTGGGCACTCCTCTGCTTTCTAAAACATATCCCTTCTTCCTTGACAGGAAAAATCAAGAGAAACATATTACCTTAAGTGTTCTGCCATCTACCACCACATTGTTGACACACTGTATGGCTCTGAGAGCATCTTCTGACCGGATATAGGTTACATAAGCACTGGCACTCGGACCCTAAAGTGAAAAACATCCCGCCCCACTGTTATTAGTTTCAGACTGATACTAAAAAAAGAAAGAAAATTATTTTGCAGCCTGCCTAGGGAATTCTAAAGGTGTTCTTTTTTTTTTTTTTTTTTTTTTTGTCTTTTTGAGACAGGGTCTCCCTGCAGCCCCAGCTGGCCTCAAACTCACTATGCAGACCAGGCTGGCCTTAAACTCAGAGATTCACCTGCCTCTGCCTCCCAAGTGCTGGGACTAAAGGTGTGCACTACACCTGGATATAAATAAAAAAAAATTTCTGTGGTCTTTTTGAGACAGCCCGGTTGTCTTGGAACTCACTATGTAGACCAGGATCACCTTGAACTCACAGAGATCTGCCTGCCTCTGCCTCCCAAGTGCTGGAATTAAAGGCATGCACCACCACACCTGGTATTACTGTTGTTAATAATGATAATAACAATTAGAAGTAGTAGTCAGGTTTGATGAAAGACTATTCTTTTTGCTAGCTCGCTTAAAAGCAATCATATCTGAACTTTGCCTGGTTATAAGTAGACTACAACATAAATAAGTTAAATATCATCTTCAGATAGGTTTGGTTTTGTTTTTAAAGTAATCTGACAGGCTCATCGAAGTCACAAAAAAGTTTAAAATTTAAATTAAAAGTTATATTTAAAGTTACTGTATCAAATTATGTTCTCTCAAAAGTAAATGCAATCTGTAAGAGTCTTCTGCTAATGCCAGTATAACAAAGATGCTCTGTTAAGTTTCCAGTATCTAAAACTATTACTGCTTATAAGTAATTATGTAATTATCAGGTTGCCCAGTAAGAGACTTAACCCCCCTCCTTTAGTCCATCACTAAATGTTTACTTTACTCTTTCCCCCCTATTCTATCAATTTGTTCTTAAGTCCTAGAGGGATGAAATGAACATCAAAAAATTTCCCATCCACCAACAGAGGTCACTACATTGTATAAATCCGTAGCCTCAAGTTTTCTGATCATAGCAAATTTTCCTTCTGACAGCCCAGGTCAAGTTCAGACCATAGGAAGCAAAGACAAAATCTCTATAGTTACCTGTGAGCCTGCATATGATGTGCTATTATTGATGACAACTTTATGTATTTTACCAAACTTCCCAAAATACTCTGGTCGTTTTAAAACCTATAAAAGAAGAAGAAACAAGGTATAAACTGTCCCCATTTTCAACTTTATCCTTATAATGGGAACATTTATCATCCCTTGTCATTGAAAGCAAAAGAGTAATTTGTGAAGTTCCTAACTGCATTTATATAGCTAACTTATAGGAAATCTTTTAAAACGCATAAAAATCTATTCCTTTTTGAAGCATTAGACAGGAATGGAGACTCACAAAGTTTAGCGTTCTTATGTTCTAATATTTCCACCAGTAGTCTATGGGGCCTTACCGTCACAGTATTCAAATGCATTGTCACTAATAAATGATTTTTATGAGGCAGTAATGCTTTAAAAAATGATCAGGATCATGTACAAGAGCAAAGACAGAGACAAAGAACAGACATAAGACAGTCATTACTCATAAATCTATTGTATATTACACTGAGGCACTGTTTATAAATTCCAAGTTCCAAATATGATAACAGTAAGCATCTCCTCCCTTCCATGATTTATCACCATGTACATCATTTTCTACATCAGTAAATTTCACCATTTTGTAACTGTCTAGTAGGTCCTTCCAACCTTTACTGGTAACTTACACTTGGGACACAAACTTACATTTCTTTCTCTATTGCCTGGTTAATTATACTAATCTCACCTCTGTTATTTTGTGATAACTATATACATTGTTTTAACTTCTTTATAAATTTACATCATCACCTTGGGTAATATGATCAATATGTAATATGATGCAAAACCTTTCCCATGACTTGGAAGTACCTCAAGTTTAAATTCTGTTCTTTTCTTAGAAACAGACCAGTTTTTATAATCTTTCCAAAGAGTAACCTCTCTCCCAATGACTGTTTATGGTATGTCATTAATCCTTAGTAGTATTCAACTTAATATACACTAATCTCACTATATTTTGGATGCTTATAAACATAAGGTTATAAACATAAGGTTATGCCTAATATAGCTAATTCTAATGGATTAAAAGGGGATTACACTAGTTTTCAACTTTTCCCCATTCAAACCCCTTAAATGACAGCACAAGACAGTAGCTAACACAAAGACTTCCTAAGTTGTGTTTAGCCAAATTTTAAGGCTTAAAGGTAGGGAAGAAAATAGCCTGAAAAGTGGTTTTTCTAGCCAGAGTTTGTCATTGCATTTGTATTCCAGTTGAAAGCAGACAGACCAAATCGCCAATAGCCTCACAGCTAAAATATCTGCTTTCCAAGACTGGAAATACATAGGTTGTCCTGGCTCAGCATCTCTTATTGTATGTGAGGGGTTTTCGTGTATTTGTTGCTGGCCTTGAGCTCAGAGATCAGCCTGCCTCTGCCTCCCAAGGGCTAGGATCAAAGGCAGGTACCACCACTCCCATACCATATCTGACTTTATGGCAACAGCTATCAATGAAGGAAGCATTTTAGAAATCTGTGGACATTTTTATCAGGGAAGACTTTAAATAGAAAACAAAGCATTTAGTGGATGAAAGCAGAGATTCTTACAAGGCTCAAATTAACCCTGCCCAGAAGTGGTCCTATACAACTTCTGAATGTCCTATAAAACATTCCTGTAGCATGGGCTGGAGAGATAGCTCAGTGGTTAAGAACACTAGACGTCCTTGCAAAATACCCAGGTTCAAATCCCAGCACCCACATGGCAGCTAACAACTATCTGTAACTCCAGTCCCAGGGGATCCAACAGCCTCTGCTGACCTCTGTGGGCATTGCATGACACGGGTGTACTTACCTACATGCAGTGTATGCAAGCAATACATGCATACACATAAAATAAAAATAATAAATAAATTTTTTAAAAAACATTCCTGCAGCTAAGAAGCCTGTTTATAGTTAAGTGAACCTGTAAGTAAGCTTCATATTATATACAAACACAAAGTAGTTTCTCACTTTTGACATACACTGAATTTACAGAATAATATTCAATTAAGGGAAGATTATACACGCTTTGTTTCTGATGAGTTGTTTTACAAAACTCACGTCATTGTTATTTCATGGTACTTAAGTTGCCAACAGACATACCTGTAACAATATGCACTTGGAGCTATCACACTTAGTGACTCTACAAATTAGGTAAAGTTTATTCTGTAGTAAAAAAACACTACTCCAAAAACCTGAATATTCATACAAATCACTTGAGAAACTTGAGAAAATGCACATTCAGATCCAGGAGATTGAACACACACTCTGAGAGTTTATGTAGCAGGCTCCCAAGTGATCGTAATGCTACTAGCCTGGAATCGGCACCTCAGGAACAAGTTTGAGAGTAGTTGTGCCCAAGCATTAATATGCAAAAAGTCTTTTCATAATTATTTTCATATATATATATCATTAATATGCAAAAAGTCTTTTCATAATTATTTTCATATATATATGTCTTTAAAAATATAGGGAAACAAATTATACTTTTAAGAAGTCATTTTCAGAAAAATAATGATGTATTACACAATATCAATTTTTTTAAGTGGGCAATGAATCTGATCAAGTTGAAGATTCCTGGTTTATAGAAATAGTTCCTGACAAGCAAGCATTTGGGTCTAACACCTTCAAAACAAGATAAGACTGGTGTAAAATCACTCTGGCATGTCCTCATTATACAATGGTATTTATTTTCAAGGCACAAATTGAGCATGTAATTCTATTCTCGGGGACACTAACAGTCTCCCACTGCCTTTAGAATAGAATGCAAACTCCTCAGCATTGTTAGAAAGCCCCTCGTAAGCATTGCCACTCACTCTGCCAACCGTATTTCTCACCACTGAACTCCAACTCTAACCTCCCAGACAAAAGAAACCAGATTGCAGAAGGTTTATCTCATCCAGAAGCATTTGCACAGTTTCTGTGCTAGAAGCAATTTACCCCACAGATAACAAAGTGGGTGCTTTCTCTGTATAGTCTGGTACCCCGGCCCTCATGGCACTTCCCATGCTAGACTGCTCCTTTGTGAAGAAGCAGGTATTATCTTGTTTATCGTGTATGCTCAGTGTCTTACACAATGTTTGGCATGGTGTACATACTCAGTAGATTTTTATTGAAAAAACTGAATTGTGTTAGCATTAAATGGAAAGAATTACATGAAAGGCTGGGTCTTATGGCTCACACCTGTAATCCCAACACTCAGGAGGCTAAGGCAAGAGGATTGTTGAGAGTTCAAGGTCAGCCTTGGCTACATAAGCTCCTGTGTCAAAGCAAAACCAAAATAAGAATGTGTGCATGCATAACACCAGTAGACCTCTAAATATCACAAATGTCTAGTGGCTGACACTGATTAGGCTGCTTAGACAAGGGAAATACAAAGAAATTTTAAAATTCATATTAACATAAACACTCCAGATTTTCCCTAAACAACTGATAAAACAGAAGATAAAATAAATAATTACAGAGGGCTATGTGACAGAATTAAGTGCCCAGTGGCATTGCTAATGACTAAAGTATCTTGCTATGTATTCTTTGGGAATATAGTCAAGTACTCATGCATACAATTGAGAGAAACAAAAATGGGGTCATCAGAGGAATGCTTGAATAGATAATGAACAGATTAACAGGCCAATCACCAGTACAGAATACACATGAACAGGAGGAGCTCTAGCACTATAGACAAGTCACTCAACTTGGCTTTGCCTCAGTTTTTCACTTGTAAAATAAAATGGTTGTGTTGTTATAATCAATGAAATGTTCTCTGGAGATACCACACATCTGGGCTGCTATTTGACCTTATTTGCTGCCTAGCTAACACTATTAATACTCAAAGCCTATCTTAATCATCCTTTTCTTGAGGAGGCCTTTCTGAATCTCTATACTAGCTAATTACTTTACTGTCACATTCTCCCAAAGAATAGTGTACCCTCCTCCCTTTCTTTTTTTTTTTTTTTTTTTTTTTTTTGGTTTTCCTGTAGCCCCAGCTGTCCTGGAACTCACTATGTAGACCAGGCTGGCCTTGAACTCACAGAGATCTACCTGCCTCTGCCTCCCAACTGCTGGGACTACAGGCGTGAGCCACCACACCCAGAGTACTTCCCCTTTTATACATGCTCAGGGCATGTGTGAACACCTGAATTCTGTCTTCCCCATCAGTTAAGGGTAGAGTCTGTGTTTGGCTTGCTACCTAATTTATCTCCAGTATCAGCATAATAACATCTCAAAATCTAAAACTTAGGCCGGTGGTGGTACACACCTCTAATCCCGGCACTTGGGAGGCACAGGCACGCGGATCTCTATGAGTTCCAGACCAGCAAGGGTGACATAGTGAGACCCTGTCTCAAAAACAAAAGCAAAAACTAAAACTTATGATATTTTAGGTAGCTTTATATTCACAATACAGTGCCCTCTGTTACTGGTTACCACCTAATTTTTCTCTGAGTAATAGATCTTCAGATTCATCTATGCTTACTTGAAACAAAAATAAGAAATCTCTGTAAGTAAATAAAAACTTACATATCACAGACACAAAGAAGAGAGAGGAGAGGTTGGAGAGATGGCTCAGCAGTTTAGGAGCACTGGCTGCTCTTGCAATTCCCAGGACCCACATGGTGGCTAACAGTCTGTGATTCCAGTTCCAGGGGATCCGACGCCCTCCTCTGACCTCCTTGTGCATTGCACAACATGGGTGAACTAACATTCATGCAGGCAATACACTCATACACATAAAATAAAAATAACAAAATATTTTTTTAAAAAAAAAGAAGAGAGAGGAAACCTATAATCCAAACATCAGACTCAGGTCAGCCTAATTTCAAGTGACTCCACATTGCCTTCAATATTGGCTGGACTCAAGATGGACAAACAACAATAAAAGTACATCTATATCCAAAAGCTCTCGAGATGAAAGTCCCAATAAGTTACTGAAGTAGCAATTTCAGAAAGGCAAAGTAAGTTCTAACCAATAAGATTAGGGATAAGTAAAAAAGAGGCAGAAGTGGGCCAGTGAAACCACTCAGCGGGTAAAGCACTTGCCACACAAGCTTAACCTGAGTTCTTTCCTTGAAACCTACATAATGGTGGAAGAAGAGAACCAACTGACTGTTATCCTCTCACTGCCACACAAGCCATAGCATGCATGTGCTCTGGGACCACACGCGCACACACACACACACACACACACACACACACACACACACACACACATATCCATACACCCCCTCACATAATAATAAAGTTTTTGTTAAAGGTAGAAGTGCTCTCCAGTTGGAAAAGATACAGTTGGAAGAGAAGCATCAGTGCAGCACTATAGCATGTTCAAGAGAAGTGGTCATGGAAAAGGTGGGCCAGTCTGCCCAAAGAATGCAGGAAATGAAAGCTTACAAACAGAATTGGTTCCTGTAGCTAAGCGTGGATCGAAATGAGCTCTTTAACATTTTTCATATAAATATTCTTATATTGACTATAAGTTTATTCAACACAAAATACTCTTCTCGAACTTCACTGAGGTGGCTGACCACATCCACAACTAAACTCGCCTCTGAACTGAAATTCGGTTGCAGAGCCAGTCCCTGCCTTGGCCTTCTTGTCAGCACCAGGGGCACAGCGCTCTGTTCTAAAGTGCCTCTGTCGCCTCCTCTCTTGTGAATCTTGCAGGTCGCTCACCCTCTGGACCTTTAGGCCAAGGCCTGCCAGTTTCAGGAGAGCTGAGGTGCAGGGCGCCAGGCACGCTCTCAGGAGGCAGGTGGAGGTGATCATGATATACCGTAAGGGTCCAGTAGAAATCTCTCCAAGCAAACTGTTCCTTCATGAGAGACTGCACAGCCTTCAAGACACGAACATTGGGCACATTCTTGTCTCCCAGCTCTGGGAGTCCAACATACGAACATCTTTCTTTGCTATCATTATGCCCTCCTTAAAAAGGAGTTCTTGGGCATCAGTATCGTTGCAGCTGCAGGGTCCGAAGCCAGGGCTGGAAAGCTCTTTAACATTTCTTACTAAAGTTTTTTTCTGCTTGAAGTTTTTTATTTTGAAGGTTGTTTTGTTTGTTTGTTTGTTTGAGACAGAGCCTCCCTGTAGCCTCAGGTAGTCTGGAACTAGCTATATAGACCAGGCTGACCTTGATCTCACAGTCCTCTTATCTCACAGCTTCTGCTGGGATTAAAGGCATGCACCACCACACCTGGCTAATTTCTGCGTTTTGTGTGTGTGTGTGTGTGTGTGTGTGTGTGTGTGCGCGCGCGCGTGCGTCAGTCAGGGTCTTACTAGTTATTTAGCTCAGGCTGGTCTAGAACTTACAATGTAGCCCAGGTTGGCTTCAAACTCACAATCTTCTTGCTTTGGTCTCCTGAATGCTGAGATTACAGGTGTGTGCCACCATAAAATGAGTAAATTCTTGACCAACACTTTTGCAAAGAAGCTGGCCTCTTGAATATGTGCATATAAAACACTACCACTAAGTTCCTTGGACCCAGGTTCCTAGAAATTCTTTAGGGAAGGGGCAGTGTTGAAGGGGCACACATTTGCCAGGGTGCATATGTGAAGGTCAGGACAACGTTGCAGAGTGCAACATTGCAGAGTTGATTCCCAAGATCCATCTTTACATGGGTTCTGGGGATTGAATACAAGCAGTAAGGCTTGCACAGCAAGTGCCCTTACTCCCTGAGTCATCTTGCTGGCTTGGTTCCTAGCAATTCTTGATTTGTGCCCATTTTTAATGCTCATGACAGATTCTTCCAGGTTATGTCTCCCAGAGTTTCTCCTCTATTGATTCTGAAGCACTTTAAAGCCCTGGTGCATAAGACCCATCAATCAATAAATACTATAATTCTAATCTTCACCCAAAAAAAGATAGTAGGTTCAGTTATGGCTCTGATATGAAATTACTAACTGTCCCCTCCAAGGCTCAGGTATTGAAAGCTTGGATCCCAGTTGGCAGATATGAAAGCTCTGACCTAATCAATGGATTATTTGTTGATGGATTCATAACTGAGTGGACGGACTACTGGGAGGTAAAAGAAACCGAAAGGTGGGGCCCAAACCAATAAAGTGGGTCACTACAAGTGTGCCTCTGTAGGGCATATCTTGTTCCCAGCCTCTCCCTTTGTCTCTTTTGGCCTCTTGGCTACATGAGGTGAGCCGTGTCATCCGCCACATCCTTCTGCAGAAGGATGTTCTACCTGACCATAGGTCCATAGTGACAGAGCAAGCTAGTCATGGACAGACACGGACACGGACAAGGACAGACACACACACACACACACACACACACACACAAAGTGGAGCTATGTGGACACTCACATAGAGACACACGTGTACACATATACACACACTAAATGAACACCCAACAAGAAGAATTACTACTTGAGTAGGTCATTAAAATTTCTTTGTAGGTTCAAGTAACTGTGTCTCTAATTGCTGGTCCTTACATGGCTATGGGAAAGAGGAATAAAACAGAATCCTCATGCTGCATGTTAGCCTTGAGGGCAAAAGAGAATCATTATCCATTTTCACAGGCTATCAGCACTGAAGGGGACTTCAAAATGTAGCTCAACTCCTTAGTTTTACAACTGAAGGCAAAAAAGATTAAGGCATGCCTAAGAGCAAACTAGTCATGAGTTTCTTAGCCATTATTAAAGTCATTTCATACTTTCTCCCAAGACTGATTATTTTCAGAGGAATCCTACAGCTTATCAGGGTCAAGTTCTACTTCCAAACAAAATAAGCAAAAAGAAAATGATATCATATTTACAAAGAAAATGGAAGAGGACTTACTTCTGGGTCTGCTAGGCGCTGTGACAGACCTACTACAAAGACGAGGTTTTTTTGTACCACACGTACACTAGCCAAATGTTTGCGATTTTCTGAGATTTTCTGTTTTCTCTCATTTTGTTTCTGTTTTTTCTCATTTTTTATCCTTTGCAATTCTTCCTGGGAGAGTGGTTTATAAACTGCAGGGTCTTCTGGATATGGCTGTAAGCATAAAACAAGCAAAAGTTAAATAGAAAAACTGTATAAATGATAATTATCAAATTCTGAGTTGCAAGTATATGGTTATTACAGTCTCCCTTCTGAATGTTTCAACTGCTTTAAAATCTTTTATTTAATAAAAGTTAAAATAATTCTAAAAATTATTTTTTAGCGCTTAACACAAAACATTTTAGCACAGATGTCTAAACAAAATCACTTAATCTTGGTATTATCCACCACCTCGGACAGAGTTTACAGGAAGATCACGCTTCTAAAATCCTGTGTAAAAGGCAATAAATGTAAATTCTCTCAACTAAATATGTGTTTTACATAATAAAATCAAATATTTAAAGAAAACCTACTAAGTGAATATTAAAGTAACATGCTTTTTGTTTCTATCTGCGTGTGCAAGTGTGTGCATGTGGAGCCCAGAGGTCAATGCTGGGTATCCTCCTCTATAACTCTTTGTTTTTTGTTTGTTTGTTTTAAATATACTTCTAGCTTAAGAGGAAGAAAGATGAACATAAACATTTAAATCCTCTGACTCAAGGGTTTAAATTTAGTTTTGACACTAACTGGCCATGTGCCTTTAAGCAACTTAATAGACTCTAAGTCTCAGTATCCTCATGTGAAAAGTAAAAATAATTTTTAAAATCTATTGTAAAGATTAAATAATACTTATCAGGCAATTATTATCATGCCCTCAATAAATACTGGCAATTTCTCTGTTCTTTGTCTTCATGATCTCCTTCTCAGAACTGTAGTTATTTTCATCTCAACTACTGATATCGTGGCTATCGATTGCCAAAGTAAAAGTACCAAGTCAGAGTACCAGGCTTTGAATTCCAGCCTACCCTCTGGAAAATCAAATGATCATTCTGCCCTAGTCTTCTCATTTGTAAAATGAGAATCGCATTTAGCCAGAAGATTTTAGTAGGAGTTAAAAGAATACATGGAATATATTGAAATTATGTCCTACACATAAAAGCATTCAAAAAGTTATTAGTACTACTCATAAATATAATAAATGGAAGGGCCAGAGAGATGGCTCAGTGGCTAAGAGCACTGGCTGTTCTTGTAGAAGATCCAGGTTTGAATCCCAGCATCCACACAGCAGCTAACCACCATCCATAACTCCAGTTCCAGGATCCGATACCCTCTTCTGTCCCCTGCTGGCACTGCACAACACGGGTGCACTTAACACATATGCAGGCATAACACTCATAAAAATAAATTTAAAAGATATAAATGGAAGATGATTACATTGTATGCATTAATAGTCACAACTGTATATGGCAAGACCCCAGGAGTGATATAATGGTTCCTTAATTTTCATCATCAGCCTGGCTGGATTTACAATCATGTAGGGGACACCCTTTTTGGCATGTCTCTGGGGGTGTTTCCTGAGAGGATTAACTGAAAGAAGACCCACCCAGGCTGTGGGAGGTACCACCTCACCGAATAAAAAAAGGAGAAAGCCAGCTGAGCACTGGAATGCCTCTCTCTACTTCCTGAATGCCAGTGTGACATGACCAACTACATTACTCTTGCAGACACAGCTGTAAACTGGTCCCACCACAATGCACTCCATGCCATGATGGACTGTGCCCCCTCACACCATGAGCCAAAATAAACTGTTCTTCGTTTAGGTTCCTTCTTGTCAGGTATTTGGTCACAGCAATGACAAAAATTTAAGAATACAGCTGGGAATCATAATTGGTTAGAAAATCCTACCTATCAGAGTATATGAGTGGAAACAACAGAAATAGCCCAGATAAAGAACAAGAGTGACGGGACTATCTAGAAACCCAAAACTTACCCTCAAACTTGTGAGTATACCCAGACTACTGATGAGTGCAACTAAGAAAGGGAGATTTCTTTTTATTCTCTTTACCATCTAACATCATCCTAAGCTCCATGGAAACTTGATTCCTTCCCTTTTATTCCCACTTTCAACTTCAATTTACTGCTTTTTAAGAAATCTTATCCTCTTCCTGAGGCCAGAAACCATCTCAGAAGAGGGTGCAGAAAGATTATAAAAGTTTGAGTCAGGGAGGACAAGAGTGCAATAGTGTCTTCTGGGCATGAAAGGACAGTTGCACTCATGAACTCAGAGCAGTTGTGGTTGCCTACACAAGATCAAGGCAGTCAACATTCTAGCATGGAGTGGGAAGGGGTTCATGAGTACCCACTCCTAAAGAACAGCTGATGACTTTGGGGGGAGGAAGAGTAAGTTTTCTCTGAGGGTGTGGCATCTGGTACATGGAACATTCTCCAGTGGTTGGTCCCACATCCAGAAGTATATGGACACCACAAACTGGAGTTCATGATTTCTTACAGTAAAAAGGAGAGACGCTAAAGAGATGGCTCAGTGGTTAGGAGCACTTCCTGCTCTTTCAGGACAACCCAAGTTGGTTCCCAGCACCAACATGGAAGTTTTTTTTTTAATATTTTTATTTTTATTTTATGTGTATGAGTGTATTGCCTGCATGTATGTGAGTGTACCCGTGTCGTGCAATGCCTCGGAGGTCAGAAGAGGACTTCGGATTCCCTGGAACTGGAGTTAAGGATGGTTCGTAACTGCCATGTGGGTGCTGGGAATCGAACCTGGATCCTCTGCAAGAGCAGTCAGTGCTCTTAACTGCTGAGCCATCTCTCCAGCCCCCAACATGAAGTTTACAACCATCTGTAACTCCAGTTCCAGGGGATCTGACATCTTTCTCTTGACCTCCAAGGGCACCAGGCACACACATGATACACATACATACATGCAGAGAAGCAATGAGAAATATGAAAATAAATCTTTTACAAAAAGAAGAGATGAACTTGGGGTAGTTAAGGAGGTAGGGGTGGATCTAGGAGGAGTTAAGGGGAAGAACTGGGGTGGATATGATCAAAATACATGGTATGAAATTCTCAAAGAATAAAAACATTTATTTTTAAAAATAAAAAATAAGAGGCTGGACAGATGGCTCAGTGGTTAAGAGGACTGACTGCTCTTGTACAGGACCCGGATTCAGTACCTAGCACCACATGGCAGCTAACAGCTATCTATAACTCCAGTTTCAGAGGATGTGACACCCTCTTCTGACCTCCATGGGCACTGAAGGACATGGGTATGCTTACACATGCAGGGAATACACTCATACATACAAAAGAAAAATAAATAATAAATTTTTTAAAATAAAAAATAGACCAGGAAGGGAAGGAGGGAAGAAGGAAATCTTGCATTTTTTATAACTTACCCCGCTATCAAAGAACTACACATCAGCTTATCCAAGAAAGACGTAGGCAGTACTCTTACTGATCTCCTAGGAGGCACGCATACCATTTGAACTGCACATTAATAAATCTGCACTTGATCTTAGCCAAAAGGCTGAAAAGCAATCCACATTAACAAATCTGAATCTCTTAGCTAAATGGTCTTGCTTGGCATAGTTCAACTGACTTGTGAGCAAAAGGTCCAATAACCTAATTTTTGCATGATTCTTAAGACTTTCTCCACAATCAAATATTTAGTACAGACACTTTAAAGAGCTCAGTAACTGTTTGCTACATGAACACCAAGCTACCCTCTAAAACTAAAAGATGCAGTGCTCCTAATTTCTATTGTTTTTGTTGGCACATTACTCCTTTATTAGAAATTAAAAATATGGAATGCTTCACGAATTTGCGTGTTTCTTTTTTTAAAAAAATCTATACTTTTAGATGAAAATGAAATCATTTCTTGCATTTTAAGGCTGCAACATGCAAGTACATCAGGCCTTTTAGAGAATAAGCTGTGGTATGCATCATATGATCCAAGCAGAATTCCAGGCATGCAGAAGAAGACTCTTCTTCATCAATGTTCAACAGACTGAGGAAAGGCAAGAAAGAAAGGAACTGTGCAGACAACACACTGCTTCTTGATCCGTTTGGGAAGCGCTACATAACTTGCTTGGGGACTCAGATTCTTCTCAGAGCACGGGGGATCTGACAAACATTGTAAGACCCTCCCCCTTATAAGCATTCTGTGACACTGTAAAACCCAGATAAAGATGCAGCTAAGTAACAGAAAAGAAGAAAAAAAAAGCCCAAATAACAAATTGATGGAGAGCAACAAGAAAACCCGGAGTGCAATATCAACTCTCATTAAGCATATAACTGCTGTAACACTAAGTTAAGTATATAATCCAGAGTTATATTATTTACACTAGTCTTCTTTCTATTCTATTTCAAGTTTTATCTTTGGAAATGTACTTCCATGAGGCTTCCAACTCACCTTTGTGAGACTATAACTTCCATACAATGCAAAAAATACAGAGAGATATAAGACACACCCCTTCATTACAATTTAAACTCCAAATACATCTTATTCTGGCCACCTAAGGGAAATTACAAATACTTGGGAGACTGAGGCACGAGGATTGTGAATTGGAGGCCAAGCTGTGGTATGCTGTAGAGCCTGCCTCAAAAGAGAGAGAGGGAAAGAAGGAGCAGAGAGAGAACATGTCTGTAAAGGTACTATATTATGTATTACACATCAAGCTAATGGTACAGATTGCCTGTGAAGAAGTATTTTGATACACTATTTTTAATAAAGTAGGAAAGGAAGGTTTATAGTCTCTATTGTAATCATTTGATTTCTTCCAATCATGAAGTTATATTCTCACTTGTATTAAAAATACTATTTACGGGCTAGAGAGATGGCTCAGCAGTTAAGAATGCTTTTGTTCTTGCAGAAGACCTGGGTTCGAATCCCAGCACCTACATGGCAGCTAACAACTGTCCATAACTCCAGTTCCAGGAGATGGACCCGGCTTCGAATCCCAGCACCCACATGGCAGCTAACAACTCTCCATAACTCCAGTTCCAGAGGATCCGACAGTCTCTTCTGTCCTCCACAGGCATTGCACGACACAGGTGTACTTACCTACATGGAGGCAATTACACGCGTACACATAAAATAAAAATAATATTTTTTAAAAAATACTATTTACATTATGTCTTCACTTTTGCTTTTC